CACTTCTCGTGCTTCCAACAAAAGAACTGGGTTAATTTCTAACAAAGCCTTGAAACACATCTCCCAGTAAGGGGTATAAAAAGTTTTCCAGCTTAAGCCCATTCATTATTTTTCCCTCCTCAATAGTAATCAACTAGTACATTTCTTTTAGAGTCAATTTCAAGAACTGAATCGTAATGGGTGTACACTATAAGGGTCGCGGTGTGAGGCAGGGGGACTCTCATTTCAAGATGCAGCATGCCAATTATGACCGGGGGCAGAGCACTGCCTTCCTCGTCAGGGGCTAGGTTGAAGGCAAACAGAGTGTAGGCTTGTTGAAAGTCTTCTCGGTTGAAACACAGGGACAGGTCTTTCAGGTGACACCCCGTGGCCGTAATTAGGTTTGTAATACTCTCTGACGGAGAGGCTGTTTTCAAACTGAGGACGGAAAGGTTTTGCCAGAATCTGACGCCCAACTTGACACAAGGCCAGAAACTCCAGGTCAGCGTGTATAAACTTGAAGGGGAATTTTGCCCTCTCAACAAGGCCTTTGTTAGGCCCGTTGTTAATGACGAAAGAATCCATGGTCCCGGCCGTGTCCTGATAAAACAATCCCACGCTGAACTGACTGTTTAAGGTTTCGGGGGAATACTGTAGTTCAGCAAATTTTTAATCATGGCCCTGTATGGATGAGTGGTGCTTGACTGAGACATTAAACGATCCCCCAGAGTTACGTCGCACTGACTAAATATGGTATTCAGAGGGTAATTGATGATACCCACAGCGGCATCATTGGCCCTGACCTCATTGGATGTGCTAAAGTGCTCTATGTTATGATTTTTCATCAGCGCCTTAAACAGACAGCTTGTTTTAAAATTCTTTTCCTAAATCCATCTGAACAACTTTAGGAATGCCTCTCTCACCTAGAATCGATGCAAAACCGTCGGTAACCTCTTTAGCACTTTTAAATTTTAATAGGTCTAACATAGGCTTTTTTAGAGAAAACATCAATCACAGTCAACAGAAACCTATATCCGTCATTATAAGAGAACAGGGCCTGCATGTCGCAGAGATTGGGTTGAAACTGGTTGAGAGGCCTCAACACAAACACTTTCTAAAAACTGTTTGATATACGATCCACGCTTATTTTCTTACCAGACTCTTGTTCTATGGTTCTATGTAAAGCCTCCACCCCTCCATAGCTACCAGGATGAGCAGGAATGTAGTAAATTTTCTTCATTAAAGTCTCGCATTTATGAGGCATCTTTCCCCAGAGCATAATCCTCTTCCCTGACTGTTATGGTTTAGTCCCCCTCACCAGGAGGGTGAGGGAGAACTGAGATAGGACTCAAGTTTGCAGACCCAGGTGCTAGTAGAAAAATGGGGGTTTAATAAATAAATAAAAAAAAACACAACCAAGGTAAAGTCAACGTAAAGTACAATAACCCGGGTAGGGCAGGGATGGCTGAGGAGACTAGGATGAGCAGATGAGTAAGAGGAGGAAACAGGAGAGTAGAGGACCAGGACAAGGCAGGCGAGTAGACAGGAGAACCGTGACAGAAGATGACAGGAGGGACACAGGAACGAGAAGACAGGATTGGTGTAGGGCTCGCTGATGCACTAGCCGTCTGGTACCCACGGCTGGGAAAATCACCATCAGATACACATGGCTAGGAAAGAACACCAGAGGTAATCACGGCATCACCGTCAGATATACATGGCTAGGAAAGTTCACCAGAGGTAATCACGGCATCGTCGTCAGATATACACATAGCTAGGAAAGTTCACCAACATGAGTGGCCCTATCTAACACAAAACCAGAAAAAAAAAATAAAAATCTTGCCGTTCACTCAAACTGTCACATACTACCTCAACATGTCCGACCAACTCTGATTCCTCCGTAATAACCACAGGAACGTTGCTGATGCAATTTCTCAATTGCAGAAGCAGGAGAAGCCATTTTCTGGATCGTAAATACAGATGGATTGCTGAATGAAAAACTTTTTCGTTCATACAACCCTCCAAATAACAGAACCTTTATAAAGCCACGCTCCTGAGAGGGGGTGAACAGCTGCATGGGAAAGTGAGGGGGTGACTTTTGACCTTGGAGGGGACAGGAAATGAGGGAGGTCATGGGAAAGTGAGGGGTACAGGAAATGGGAGAAGGAGGAGAGGGGGTGACTTTTGACCTACAGTAGATCTGTCAAAAATTTGTTGATGGAAGGTGTTATATCTATTATGTGTGGAAGCATCTACAAACAAAGCACTGTAGCTCACTGCTGTGGTGCATCAGTGCACTGTTGACAAAAAACAAACATTCAGTACTACAGTATCCATCGACAGGAAAGAAACAATACAGAAATTAGAGTAAAGTGGATTCTAAGAAATCTATGAACACCCATCATAAATACATAACATACCCATCAGTCATGTCAGCCCTGAAGGATAGTTTCCCTCTTACATTGTTACCTTGGTGTGCTGCAACCCTGCATCACAGTGCAGGCACACAGACCAGAATGATTCCATGCCAGAGAGCTTCCAGGAACGGGTGTCTAGTTCCAGTGAGGAAGTGACCGATCCAGTTGTAACAGTACTATCTTTGTTGCAGATACACCACAGCAGCTTCTGCTTTTTTCTCTCAGCTGTAACATGAAAGTCTGTCAGAAGTCAAATAAAAAGCTCTTCATTCTCAGCACTGTGGAATCCACGGTGCTGAGACACTCCAGACTGGCAAACACAATTGAGTTGCATGGGGAAACTATTCTTTTAAATTATTTACACCATTCTCCTGTAAATGCATTTTCAAAATGACTCATTAAAGGCTGCTGTCATCAAAAAACAAAAGACCAATGAAGACAAACTCTCCTGCTGGCTGCATCTTAGTGCTGCAGTGGAAACCATAACTCATAGCTTTAATGGAGAAAACATCAAGCACTACTGCCAGTTTTGAGTGCCTGTAAATGTGTCTCATGGTTACACAGAGACACAAAGCTGTATTCACAGGTGTAGCCCTCTCGTGATGAGCACTCAGGGGATGCATCAAGCAAAGTGCACATCAAATAAATTTAAAGGGTCTTTGGTTTGACTGTATCAAAGCAGATGATAAAAATGAGAATGCTATGTGGTTCTACAGTGATTTTGTGATCACATTCAATTGATATGATGAGTGGTATGAATTTTTTTTCTTCAAAAAGAGAAACATTAGGGAACAGCAGTGCTCACCAACCAGCACAGACCAGTCACAGAGCAGAAACGTTTATTTTCTGATTTCCAGAGTGTGGCTGTGCTTGACATAATATGGGTGAACAATGTCCAGGCCTCCATGTAAAACTGCTTATGACATTTATTAAAGACACTAAGCCTGCATGTATTCACTCAAGGATAAACACACACACAGTGCTAATTTCCTTTTCCACAAGCCTCAGTCAAATCATTTCCCAGAGGGCCTGAAGGAGCTGGGAGGTGTTGACATGTCCTCTTTTTCCAGAGCTGGGCATTAGCTCTGCTATGATTAACAAAGCCCACGAGAGTGGAAAGCGTTAAAGAGGTTATAGCCATCAGCATATTTAGCAACAAAAAGTGGGCAAGAGAAACAGAAGTGATGTAAGTGGTGGATAATTTGCACCAAGCAAAAAAATTGTCTTCAAAATAAAATTTGCAAACATACTGTAAGTTCATATTTACACTGGACACTTTGTCAATGTAAACCTTGATCTTCACCAAAAAAAAAAAAAAAAAAACAATTTTTGAGGGCTCCTTCAAGGAAAATCCACCTAGACAAAGCATCCATAATAAAAAAGAACAGAACAAAAACAAAAACTAATTTTTTGCATATTTAGGAAGTTTCTGATTATTTTGTTGGGACTGTTATAGTCAATTCATTCTGAAGTCATCCTTTAAGTAAATTCAAAGAAAAAATTCATCTCCTGACTTGTGAACAAGAGATTAACCTATGAACAGGGGAAATGAGGTTGAGCTGAAGTCTTCTTATAATCAGACACCAAGTTGCTTTGTAACAGCAAAAGCTGTAGAAACAAACTACCCTTTTCTGTGGCTTTAAAAAAAAAAGGAAACTCAAGTTAGCTACTGTCACCTTAATGAAACCATTTCACAAGAGAGACCTTATCATCACAACTACAGTGAACACCACAGTCATACTGTCTAGACAGAGCAACCTAAAAATGTTAAGGTAATGAGCCTTTGTGAACAAAATGTTAGAAGACATTGAAAAACATTCATTGTCTTTAATGAGAGCTCACCTAAATATGCAAATTGCTTAGTTTGTCCAAGCAATAGTCCAAACCCAAAAATATTTAATTTACAATGCTAGGATGAAGCTGCAAATCCAGACTGGAGGAGCTGGAACCAACAACAGTTTGCTAGATTTTCTCTTGTAAAATGGCTTAGGTGATTAATCATTAATCAGAGGTGTTGTTGCTTTTCTGACAACTAACTAATCAGTTTATCATTTTAACAGGAGTCTCTATGTCTGAGACCACAAATATAGGCCTACATTCATAGCTCACAAGTAGAAACCTGTGTAACTGGAATAATTCATAAAGAGCAAAATCCAAAGAAATCCTCAAACTACTGAGGTCCACTTGGGGTCGTCCAACAAAAGGTCCCCACGGAACCCAAGTTTACAAAGGTGTGCAAGAAGGAAAGAGGCAACACCATTTTATAACAGGTGCATGACACACTTCAACTGCACAACATTGGCGTGCATGCATGGTGCATTTCAGTGCAGCTTCCAATTTCACGGTGCAAGTGCGTGCGCCCGCGCGTGTTTAAAGTGGTAAAGATCCAGTGCAACAATCTGCAGAAGATTCAGTGTCCCTACAAGCCCGCGAGCGAGCAATTCAATGAAGAACAATAAAGGTGGGGTGGGGGGGCACTTGCGGTGAGAACCATCTGCAATGGACAAGAGCACGTTCAGCCGTGCTTCCCCATATCTGTACAAGACCTGCGAACCACGATTGAACGTGCACTTGATTTGAGATTATCTTAAAAGTTTCACCTACCCCAATGAGAACGTTTGAGTCCCTTTAAGCCTTCCAGTCACAGGAATCCTGCGGGGTGTCCCGTCTTGACGCACGGTGCCTGTTTGACTCACTCTATTCACAGTCTAACGGAAACGCATCCACACGGGCTCCTGTGCTAGATGTGTGGCAGGATCAGCTGCTGATCTGTGTCCCCAGTTTCACACCCTTTCTTCCGGAAAACACGAACAGGCCAGCCCACTCTAGCCTTTATTTTCTACTGTGGAGCTACAGCGTGAAGACACCCAGCTGCTGAATGTATACGTAGCCCACAGCTGGCTATTGTTGCTCCACTGCAGTGTGCACAGAGCAGCAAAAGGGCTGGTCACAAACACTTTGAAACACACTGACTGGTTTGTCGCACGTCAACAGCACGGGCATAACCTCAACTTTTATTATTCGACAAGGAATGAATCCATGGGTCCTAAGATCCGCCCTCTTCCTGCACCGTTATCAATATCCTGCCATCACTGAACTATAGTGCCAACATTTGGGATTTACATAATAAAGTATATTATTATACGTGGAGTGAATTACACTGTACATACTATAGCTATTAATGCCACATGTTTTCTATAGTGCTCCTCCATTAAAGAATGAATTTGTCGGACAGTGAATTTATGCAGAAAGTGTATTGGGTGGCGCCTCTACTGGCCAGAGTGGTTGGTGTTCCATTATCCACTTGGTAAAATTCCAAATAAGGTCTCAGTGACTGGTAAAGACAAGCAGAGTGGTCACAATCTAAGTATTCACTCTCCACTGTAGCTTACTGAACATGATGTGGGCAATAAATTCATCAACTTTAACTATCAGTTTGAGTTCTCAATACATACGTTTAACCTGTAGGTACTATTTGCTGAGCAGTGGTCCTATAGCTACCTCAGTCTTTTATTTACACTTAACTGCTTGGTAAATTGTAGCCTACTATTGTCTTATTTTGACAGTGAGCAGCTCCAATGGAGCCATGGTTGAAGGAGATGGTATTTACACTATAATGTGAAGAATGAAACCCTCTCATTCAACATATTTCAGGTCAAACTTGATCCATTCGGACGTTTGGTTGCAGTAAAAACATCATAACTTTATTTTAGCCTGAAATTCAAGGGCTTCTCTTAAAGACTATACAAAAAATGTTAATGATTCAAAACTATTGTATTTATGTGTATCTGGTACACATTTGTGCACATCAGAGATGTTCCAGGTCAAGCTTCCCCATTATCATTCAGAGGGATTTTAAAGAATAAAACACATTTCATAACATTTCATAACAGCACAGAAACTACTGTTGCTTTATTTTTTTCTTTACTAATTTTTGTATTTTAAAACAAAACATTTTAGTTATTTTATATATAATCAGTTCACTAATCAATTGTATGTTGGCTTTGCAAAATGTCATTAAACAGTGAGAACTACCATGTCTACTGTTACAATTAGCCAGAGCTCAAAGTGACACTTTCCTGTCCTCGAAGTTGGAACCACTAGATTTTTTAAATTAATTTTCTAGTTTATTACTTGATTGACAGTTTCACTTCTATTTACTGTGTATAAAATACACAAAAAACATCACATTTCATAAGCACTTCATATTGTTTGTAAAATCCTTGCACTTATAAAGTAACTAGTAACTATAGCTGACAAACCTAAATGTGCAATACTGGTGTAAAAAGTATATTTCCCTTTGAAATGTTAGTGAAGTATAAGGAGACATGAAACGAAAATACCAAAAATAAAGTACAAATACCTCAAATTTGTATCTAAGTGCAAAGCTTGAGTAAATGTGTACACTGTAGTTACTGTATATTTCACCACTACGATTGTTTCTCAGCTGTAAAAGTACAGTAACTGGTGGCTGCTGCAGCCTTTGAGACTACTTTCTTCCTGTCGCAGTTGTGGGGGAAGTTCATAGCAAGTTGATTTAGTTCCTTGGCAACGGCCTCACAGCACAACACAAGCTGACACCATGGGATAAGGGGCAGAATGTCTTCCCTCACGGCACATTCACCCATCAAGTTAAAGTACTTTCCAACCTTTTCTGTATCAAGGCGCTTTTCCAGATGTGCCCTCAGAGAGCCCCCTGCACAAAGAGCAGCCTCTGCTTGTTCTCATATGAGTCAGTGTGCAAATCAGCCTCAACACAGCCTTGTATGTGCATAGTATGATCAACCGCATCATGCATAACCAGATCATTTTCAAAGGTCCATGACTCCTGCCAGTGTTACAAGTTTGTCCTTGACTTCATAGTAGTATAATGAGTCAATTTATTATTATTATTATTATTATGCAAATGTACACAATTCATAATCAGTAAGGGCAGCAGTCGATTTCAGAAAAAACAAACAAACAAAGAAACACAAGTCCTAGAACAGACAAAAATCTTCATAGTCTTCTTTATGCAGATTTGTGGCTGTAAGTTTTTGCAGTAATTTTGTCATTTTAAATATGTACATACAGTAAGTCCCTGAAGCCAGGGTATCTGGATTTTCCAGTGTTTTATCAGTGTTTCACAAATATAATGGATTCTTTGTCTTTTATCTCAGTATAACTATTGAAAAAATACTCACTGTAAAATCAGAGGAACCCTATTATTACAGTTTGAGGTTTGCTGATGTAAAATTAGCAACAGAAAAAGACAGAGGATCCACTTCAGCTAAAACTTTGCCAAAAATTAGGCAACAAAACCTTACAACACCCTTTCCACTGTGTTTGACACTTCTGTTGTTTCAGTATTGTGTCAAGTGTCTTCAGCTGCTATCCCTGGCCTGTGTGTTTGTGTGTGTTTCACTGGGACAGTGCCCCAGCTGACTTTTCCTGTTCTGCAACCCTCTGAAGCCCAGGATGGAAATAACAGCCTAATACTAATGATGATCCTGCTTTATTCTCCACACAGTCCTTAGGATTCCACCTTCTCTCCAGGAACTTTCCCTGGAGAGGGTATGTGTGCTATTCTCACATGTTAAATCATAGGAAGCATGAGCAAACACAAATATTCATGCTATATGGTGACTGGTATTCAAACAGGCAAATGTAGGTGCATGTACTGGCTGTCTAAACATATTTACATGTTTAGACAGCCAATTTAAAAACCCAAAAGTACGGGGTGAAAAGGATGACTTTCTATTTCATAGAGAAATCACAGAAAAATGCCTCTTCTTCAACGACCTGTTCAAGTGTGATGGAGAAACTTCATTTCCTCCACTTAGGCAGATCTGTCTGTGGGGACATATTTATTCCATACTTTTACTTGAAAAGCACTGGCACTCACTGACCATCTTATACCAAGCTTTACAAATACAGGAAGTGTGGTGTATATCTCCCTCTGCTGGCACAAAAGGTTCAATACACAAACAATCATAGTTTTTCTCTACTGATTTCATACACTTCTGCCAACCTTTGTTCCCACACTACAAAAAGCCTATTGTGAAAAGCCCATCTTAAATTAGCAAAACAAATTGCTGCTGGAAACCAGTTAAAGTATGGAGATACGTGAGGCACAACAAACATTTTAGTGTTTTGTTGAGGTATCATACAGTTGTTTGCTGTATTTTGAGTTTACTTATCTTTTGTTGACCTCTTTTAGGGCCCAATTTATCTGATGTTAATGTTTGTATTTTTCCTTACTTTTGGGTTAATAAAAATCCCATTATTTTGAACTTTGAAAGCTGTGTCTTTTGCCTTACTGCCCGGTCCCTGACAATAATGTACATTATTGTTTTATTATTGTTATGGTGAATGTTGTCGTTTGTCCTGCTGCACTCTGAGCTCAGCTCATCAAGGCAAACTCATAAAAATGATGTTGTAATTACAATAGTTATGCAATAAATAAATGCACAGTTGTAGTCAGACTGGTCCAAGTCTCTTAATTCTACTTTCACTGTTGTTAATGATTAAATATTTGCAGGTCTCATAACACCCTATCTTGATATGTTTTTGTTGCTGTTTTTTTTACATCAGTATTGTTGATAATGCAATAGTTTTGTATTACCTGTAATAAAGGTTTCTGTGTGTTTCACTTCATTATAAGTTTTTCTTCTATTCCTAGTAAGAAGTTTATTTGTGTGGTTGGTCCTCAGACCAAATTGCCAGACCTCTATATCAGCCTATTTCATTTGGACTGTTTGGTATAAAGTAGTTCAAAATAAAACTGTTCAGAGTGAAAGAAAAACACATATGTAAATGATGTATAATAAAAGAGCACAAACTGAATAAATAACAAGATAAATAATCTTTATTTCCACATCTTTGTCATTTATAAAATATGTGTCCACAATGAATTTAACAAGGCAAAACAGAGAATCCTTTTAATTTCTTTAAAGTAGAATCCAGGCTCTAGAGACTACCAAAAAGGGTCAGGTGTTATTGATTTGAATACGATCACTCCTTCACTGATGGTAAGAAAGGTCATTTATTTTACATATGTTAGAAGATGCTGAGTACCATGCTGAAAGAGTTGTGCAACATCCCAAGTGTCAGACCCAAAAGGATTGTCACAGGGCTCCAGAGCCTGCATTCACACCACACCCTTCAACGTACAGTCATAAAACTTCATTACCCAGGATTTATCACTGCTTATCACTCAGTGTAAACTGGATGCTGTTCATTCTACTACTGAAAGGATCAGTGTCATCATCATTACCTAACATAAGCATGATTCTTGTCTATCTTTAAAATGTCATATCCTTTTCCCTA